AGGCAAGGAAAGGTATGAAGATACATAAAAAAAAGATGACCTTTCCCTTAGTTTTTCTTCTTAGGAATAGAATGGACCACAGAATTACATGAGGGACAAGTGGGGTATGATTCTATTTTTTTATTTTTATGACCTTGAGTATATTCCACCTGAGTTTAAAGACCATCTTAATAACAGATTTGATGAATTAGATACTAATTACTGAAGACCAGAAGCATTGTGGAATATCAAGAATACCATACATGAAAAAGGCAAAAGGTCATTAACAAGACAGGAAAGAAAGAATTTTCCAATCAGTTTGCTAGGTAGTTGTCTTTCGAATTTCTTGGCATAGACTAATGAGCCCCATTAATTTGTTGAAACATTTCAATTTTGTATACCAAAATTGTATTCCACCAATTATTAGAGTCTTGTTTTTCTTCAATGTCTTCAGTGCAGCTTGGACTTTTCCTTCAGTGCCATCAGCTCTTGGTAACATGGTACCTCTAGAATTCATTGAACATCAACCAATGCCTTAAGAAGAAAAATCTCAAGCAATTTCTGTTTTGGAATGAAAATTGAGAGCATTGAGGAAGTTAGATGTTTAGAGAGGAAGACTATAAATAAGCCCAGTGGTAATGGGATGAGAAGACTCAGAATATCCTAGTTTGTACTATATTGGTCTAACGAGGGGCATAAAGTCTTTTTAAGCATCTGTTTTCTATTATCTAGGAATTAAAATGCCAACCTGATTTCTCATAAAAATGTAATGAGATGATGTATGTAGAAATTCAACATAGGCTCTTGCACACAGCAGTGTTCAATAATTATGCAACTGCAGTTAGCAGAATCTTCTTCCCAAACCTCAGACCCACCCAACACCATAGCTCTTGGCCACCCTTCAGATCTGGAATGGTACACAATTTTCATGCGAAAGATAGATGGGTATTGTTGTTTTTGTTAAGTGCCGGTAAGTCCATTCCAACTCATAGCAACCCTGTATACGGTTTCCAAGAAGCAGCTAGTGAGTTTGAAACACTGACTTTGGGGCTGGAGGAGGGCAGGGAAGGAGAAACAACAGCAACTCTAGTAAGGTATGTGCAATTTGGGATTAGCAACCATTCAAGATCAAAGGAGCTCTGGTAGACTAGTGGTTACGAATTGGGCTGCGAACCTCAAGGTTGGCAGTTGGAAACTACCAGCAGTTCCGTGGGAGAAAGATGAGGCAGTCTGCTCTCGTAAAGATTTATAGCCTCAGAAACCCTGTACAGGGTTGCTATGGGTCGGAATCGACTCGATGGCACTTAACAACAACAACAACATGATCAAATCAAAAGGGCAACATTTACCTAAGGACAAAGCTCAAAAGGAATGGGAAAGAGGGTGGAATGTAAACCAGAACCACAGGAAAAAAGTGGAATATCGGTTGTTACATGAAGGAGATTGCAGTGATAAAAGATTGGGCTGATAACCTCAAGGTCAGCAATTTGAAACTGCTAGTTGTCCCTCAGGAGAAAGATGAGGTGTTCTGTTCCCATAAAGATTTACAGTCTCGGAAACCCTGTACAGGGTCACTATGAGTCCAAACCAATTCCATGGCACATAAGCACCACCACCACCACCGCCACGATTTGTTGATGGTAAAACTGATGATCTGCTCTGTAAACCTTCACTCAATTCTCAAAGTTTCATTAAAAAAAAAACCTAAATCTTTCTTCTTACTTTTACTCAACAGATTGTAGTGCTGTATCTTGGGCTAAATTAGTCTTTATTACATAAACTTTTCAAAATATCTCCCACTCATTAAACTACCTAATTCAAGTCACAAAAAATATATACATTTTAAGTAAATAGTTGGTTTCTCTTTCACGTTTTAGTATTCCTAAAACTAGCCAAAGGAATTATGTATAATAAAAGTTAACAAGAGAGTTGTTGGTTTAACAATTGCACCAAAATATCAGATTATCAACATGAAAATGTTTCCTGTTTTTTATAAGAACACTATAGTTACATATCTCTAAGTGAGCCTCAGGGTCAGCAGTTCAAAACTACCAGCTGTTCCGTCAGAGAAAGATGAGGCGTTCTGCTCCCGTAAAGATTTACAGTCTCAGAAACCCTGTACAGGGTCGCTATGAGTTGGAACCGACTCCGTGGCATATAACAACAACAACAAAGTGCCATTGATTTTGTTTTGGACAGAAGCTGAATCACACAGAAGAGTTTTTGTGCTTTTGGCATCTATCCTTCAGTGAGAACTAAATATCTGTCTGGATAGTCTTAGCACCACTGATTGATTAGAAATTTTCAGCCAGATTTTTAGATGATTTGAAAATTACTGGACTCTAGAAAGCATGGAAGCAATTTGCATGTAGTGGTATCTGATTATAGTGACTTAATGATTATAGTGACTTAGTCTACATTGAGAAAATAACAGAAGAAAACTAGAACTAAGTCTCTAGCTAACCAGCTCTTGAGGTAAACTCACAGCCCACGTTGTGCCAAATTGGGTGGACTGCAACAGAGATGGTTCAAGATTTAGGTCCTCACATACTCTCTGCTTAAAATGGGGTAATCCTAGTGTTTATGTATTTTTTCTTAGTCATTCCATCATACTTTCTCTTTTCCAAGGTGCTTCTCTAATTATCACCTCATGCACCTTATGGATAATTTGGAAAGTGAGTGAGGGCAAGAGGGGATTTCCACTTAACAGCTCAGAAATTAGAGAAAATGTTTGTTTCAGCCTGTTTGAGGTCATGAGTCTGTGGTGAAGCTAAAATTAGAACACAGCTCTGTTTCTCTGGTGATGTCAATATAGATGAATAATGTACTTTGTAATCAAAGACCTATTAACTTGACAGTTTCAAGTTGTTTATGCACATAATAAGTCTATGCATAAAGGGGTAAAACAAACCTTTAATACCACTTGATTTTCACTCTACTCAACCACCTGTGATTCCCCAATATAAAAAGCAAAACGAACACAGCATTCCTAGACAGCTGGATTGGTTGTCTTGGTTAGTGGCAACACATTGGTGCTCAAACCAAAGTAGTTGCCAGCGCATGGATGGTTGATTTTTCTGAAGTAGATTACCAAGCCTTTTTTCTGAGTTCACCTGTAAGTGAATGGGGAACTTGTGGCCTTGCAGTTAGCAGTGAAATGCTTTAACCATTTGCACACCAGGCACGTTCCTTCATGTCTTACTCTTTCTCAGACACAAGTAAGCATATTTATTTCTCTTTGCTCATCAAGATTCAGAGGAAAAGAATGCATTTTTAAAAACCTAACACTAATAATTTAGTTTCCTCTAAAAGAATATGTAAAATGTAAGCGATCTTAAAAATACAAGGGAGCTTCAAAAAACTTGTGGAAAGCTTCTTCTGTCTTTTAGTTCCATATTTCCATAAATTTTTGAAGCCCCATCATATATTTTGCATCTATTACTGACTTACGGGGCTCTGGTAGTGTAGTGATTATGAGTTGGGCTTCTAAGCTCAAGGTCAGCAGTACAAAACTGCCAGCTGTTCCAAGGGAGAAAGATGAGGCTTTCTGCTCCCGTAAAGATTTACTGCCTCGGAAACCCTAGAAAGGCTTGCTATCAGTTGGAACTGACTCCATGGCCTATAACCAACTAAAATTACTGATCTATATAATCAGAACTGTTTGTATTCATAATCATGCCTCATGTTACAGGTTGTTTGTACAATACCTGACTCAATCAAAAAGTAAAAAGCAGCAACAATCAATAGTTAAGCGTTTTTTAGAAGATGCTGTGTTTGCTAATGGCACTTGGTATATTCAGAGACAGAAAAATTATCAGAAGACTTAATTCTTGCATTAGAGGGTCTTCCAGGTAAACTGTAGTGGAAAGAAATTTGAGGGGGAAAAAATCTAGATAATTCACAGTGCTAGGAGTATGGTACTGTGGGATAAAGCACTGGTGTGCAAAGTCAGAAGTTCAAATTCACCAGCTGCTTCTTAGAAACCCTATACAGGGTTGCTATAAGTCAGAATCGACTCAACAGCACTTAACAACAACAGGATTACATTGGACTCATGGTATAGTGCTATAGGATAAGCACTGGACTGCTAACTCCACTAGCCACTCCTCTGAATCTGCTCAAAGGCACTTAACATGGTACAATGCAGAACGATTGCACAATCAATAACAGCAAACATTTGCTGAGCACCTACTAAGGCATGTGCTAGCTGCTTTCTCTTGGTTAGCGCTTGCAATCCTAAGGAAAAGTCGATGAGCAAATAAGTGTTGTTAGGTGTCACTGAGTGAGTCTGACTCACAGTGGCCCTTGGTGCAACAGACTGAAACACTGCCTGACCTGCACCATCATCACAGCTCCTGCTTCATTTGAGTCCAGTGTTGTTGCCATGGTGTCAATCTCACTGATGGTCATGCTCTTTTATGCTGACCCTCCACTTGACCAAACACCAGGTTCTTTTCCAGGGACTAGTTCTTCCTGATATGTCCCTTAGAAGACAAAGTATGGCCATCTACCCCGCCCCCTCTCTGTTCATTTTACTTTCCCCTCAATTTTCAGAATAGGAAACTAAGATCCTAAAAGACTAAATAAGCACGTATGGTTCTAAGGATGAAAACCCAGCTTTTGAACTCAGGTTCGACATGTGCCATATGCTTTCTATTCATTTTCTCTTGTAAATCCTGAGTGTATACTCTTACACATCTACAGAATACCTCCTCCTTTGGGGATTGTAGAAAGCACTTGTCAGTGTATTTTGATTGATACATAATTTCAACAAGTATTAATAAGAGTTCTAGTGTGATACTGTAGGATAAGCACTGGACTGCAAGGTCAGTGGTTCAAACTCACCACCTGCTCCTTGGAAACACTATACAGGGTTCTTATGAGTCGAAACTGACTCGACAGAACTTATCAAGAGAAAGCTCACCTAAACAAATAATCTAGACAATACAATGATAAAATGAGAGGAAAGAAGGGGAGATTAAGCAAAGGACCATGGCACTTAGAGTATTCTGTGTACTTACGAGCCTTTTTGGTGGTGATATTGACGGGGGCACTGGAGGGTCCTGTCCCAGCAGTGTTGTAAGCTCTCACAGAAGCAAAGTAGAGTGTATTTGCTTTCAGCCCTGTGATGTTTTTGGTTGTGACATTTCCACGGACTCTAATTTTACCAATTATGGATTCTTTGGAGTCATCTGTCCAGTATAACACCTGATCATTAAGAATGAAGAGCAAGCAGGTCATTGTTTCCCAACAACTATCAACTAATAAAAGAAGTAGGATATGAGAAGGAGAGAAAAACATAAATGATAGAATGTACTGTAAACAAAATAGATAAAGGCAAAGTATCAGCCTATTATATATAAAGAGGAAATAGACATAAAATTCACAATAAAATTTAAATAACTGAGACTTTTAGATTACCAAATACATTTTAGGTAACAAAAATAAATCATATTATGAGATATCTAAAGAGTGTAAATTAGATTAAAACAGATTATATGCCATCAACCAAATATTTCATGTATAAAAGTTTACTGTTGGCATTTCTTCCAGAGTTCTTTGAATCACACTTAAATTTTTCAGTTTACACTGATACTTTCCTATGCATTAGCAATGCATTCGACAGATCAAAGATAACAAGAGATTATAAATCTAGGTGTGTGCCTTGGAACTCAAGAAGTCAGAACATTTGTGTGAAATTAAAACAAACAAAATACATAAGATGCTTTCAAAACTGATACAGGAAAAGTTATGTGTTTAAAGAAACCCAAGATTGTAGAGTTACAGAAAAGAGTTTAAAGAGAAACATAACAGCAAACCGAGTGCCATTAAGTCGATTCCGACTCATGGGAATCGTATGGGACAGGGGAGAACTGCCTTATTTTTCTACCATGGAATGACTGATGGGTTTGAATTACTGTCATTGCAGTTAGAAACCCAACGCTTAACCCCCTATGCCACCGGGGCTTCTTTTAAAAAGAAGGGGAGATTAGAAATGGATGTTAAGAAATCAGTGTCAGATAAGTGGTGAAGCAGTCCAGGCATGGAGCGACAGAGCTATATAACATATAAGTAGAACTTTCTATTTGGATCAGAGGGCTCATATGAGGGAATGAGGGGATGTAAAATTAAGGAGGTTTTACAATATGCTTTTTTTAATTCTATTCCCAAAATGAAATGAATCACTTTATCCATTTTGTGAATCAATAAACTTGTGAGATAAAAGAACAATAGGAGATTAATAATTCTCATACCTTGACTGTCTAAGAAAGAAGACCCAAACATGTGAAGTGTTTTGCTTTACTTTATACAGATTATAAAGAACAGGTTGAAGAGAATCTGGCTTTTTTGTTCTGTCTTTTCCAATGTGATTACATCTTTTCAAATCTATCTCCAATTTTCAAATAGGTTTCCTATTGAAACTCTTCTAGATCATTTCAGATTGTTGAAGATTATCCAGACATTTTTCTCATGCCAAGATGTAAATATGACTCAAATAGCTCAAATAATAATAAATTATCAACTGACCATTTTTAAATGGCTTTCATTTGTTAATTTGATTGTCTCTGGTCATTTGGAAAGACTATCTTTTCATTCTCCTTATCTAAGAATGAGGTAGGAGTAGATGACTGAACAGGAACTACTGTGCTGGGTAAATGAAATGAATGTGGATTACCTCATAGCCCAGCACTCGACCAGTGTTTCTATTCCAGTCAATAGCATTCCAAGAAACCTCCATTTCAGAAGCAGAGACACTCTGGACAGAAGTTCCTTTTGGGGCCAGTTGAGGTTCTACCATCCAGAGAAAGATAAAACCAACTTTAACAGAGTGGTTCATGTAAAACCGAACTTGTAATAATACACTATTTCCAAGAAGATTATTTCAGAGCTGACCTCAACTTACCATCTTCCCCAGAGTAGACAATAGACACAGTACTGAGGGATCCTTCTCCTTCGTTATTATATACTCCCACTTTAACTTCAAAGGGAGAGAGGGGGATGATACTTTCATTTCTGTAAATGAATCTTGATGATTCCACAGAAACGACTCTTTCCTTGGTCCAAGTTGTTGAGCCAACTGGTCGAAACATAATGATGTATCCAAATCCCTCACCATTCTGTAGTTCTTCTGGAATTGACTTAGGCAGAATGTGATCAAACAATAAGTATTTGCAAAACTATGTCATTGAGCTATCATAAATGTTCACTGATTATTTCCTACACAGAAACAAATATGGGTATTTACCTTGTTTAATGAAGTATTGAAAAATTACTTTTATTTGAATACAAATTTGGAAAATCATTCTACTTAAAGGTACACAGATACATAATTGAAGCTTTTAACAGAAAATATAAATAAGGCTTCACTATGTTTATCTTTTTCCATGATTATTCATAAGTTTTAGTAAAATGGTTTAGAAAATTGCAAATTTTTACAAATTAAAACATAATTTTGATATGAATCTTTAAACAGTGCAAAATTAACTTAGTAACCATTTATTTCAAGCCTGGAAATGCTTTAGTTTCACAAATTTATTTTTGCATAAATTCTTGTGAGATGTGAGTAATAATAATTCTTGTGTAATAATACATATACTATGACAGATAGAATATTTATTTTTAAAAGTATAAAGGACCTCTAGTATATTTTATCATACATACTCACTTGTAGTATCAGTATGCATTTCTTTCTGAAATTTAAAAAGCTAACTCCCACAGAAAGCAAACTGTAAAATACATCTAAAATCTTAAGTTACTAAACTTATAAAATAGGAATTTATATTTTCCCATAATGCTGTAGACATTAAGCATTACACATAATCATATAAAGTAAGTAAATGAAAATGAAACTATGGTTTGAATTTAGACAAACGTTTCAACTAATTACAAGAAAAGTGTATAATAGAAATCAATGTTGTCTTTAGTAATTTTTCCAAAGAAAAATGAAAAAACGCTTGCCTCTTTTTTTTTCTTTCTCCTCTAAACATTTCCATTCACTAATATGGGCATACACGAGTCCCTCATGTCCACAAATCCATTCCTGTGATTTCCTTATTCATAGGTGTCCGTTTATTGTATGACTACATTCTGCCCCTGAGAACTTATCTGATTACCCAGTTATGGCACCAAAACCAAACATAATCATCTTGGTCAGTATCCTGGAGGCATTCTGATACAAAATCTTTATAGTGATTAATGAATTCAGTGAATGCCTTTCGTCCACTTGCATAGTTTGATTATAAAGTATATAGATGTTGTTATGTGCCGTGGAGTCGGTTCCGACTCATAGCGACCCTTGTACAGGGTTTCCGAGGCTGTAAATCTTTATGGGAGCAGAAGGCCTCATCTTTGTCCTGCGGAGCAGCTGGTAGTTTCGAACTGCTGACCTTGTGGATCGCAGCCCAATTCGTAACCACTATGCTACAAGAGCTAGAAACCCAAAAATTGGTAGCATAAAGTAGACAGACAATAAGCAGAAGCCATGCAGTAGCAGGGACACTGAGGCAATAAGAGCAAGGAGGAAACAGAAGGTATAAATTGGAGAGAGAGGAGGCATGAGGTTGAATGGAAAACTGGAAGGATAGAAATTAAGTAGTGCTGAGTTAGAAGCATGAGAACCCATTCAAACTGGAGCTGTAGGATTAGAGTAGCTGTCACCCACCCGTCTAGAGCTACTTTACACAGAACAATGATGGACAACACTCGGTTTTCCATTTGACCTGTCTGCTTAGATGCTGAGATATTTTTCTGTCCTTGTTACTTATCATGTCACTTTAAAATAAATCCCTATTAACCGAGATGGCCTGAGTTGGTGTGTATTTCTAGTCATGTGAAACAGTAACAAATAGAGAAAGTAAAAACAGAGGGGAAAATAATACATTTTCTGAAATCTGGGAAAAGAGAATGTTTCCTTGAATTAGCTTCTCTTCTTTTTTTGTGGCGATCAGGACTAAAGATAATTCTGAGTGGGATGGGAGAGATTAATTACAATTTGCTTCTTTAGTCTTAGATTTAATCAAGATGGTTAGTCATCAGTGTCCGGAGAGCACTTGAGTTCTTTTGGTCAAGTGCAGTTAATGTGTCTCATGGTGTTTCTTAAACATGTTTGACTCCATCATACTCAGTGTGGTGGTGGTTGTGTGGTTTCAAGTCAGTTCTGACTCATAGTGACCCTGTATATGGATTCTGAGGCTGTCAATCTTGTTGTTGTTAGGTGCCATCAAGTGAGTTCTGACTCATAGCAACCCTGGTGTGGCACTGTGGGTTATTGCACTGGACTATAAAGTGAGTTTGAACTGCAAGGTAGCCAGCTCAAGCTCACCAGCTGCTTGCTCCTCAAATTGCTGAACTTATTCAACGGCACTTAATAATAACAACAACAACATCTGGGTTTCCAAGGCTATAAATCTTTACAGGAGCAGAAAGCCTCATCTTTCTCCCATGGAGTAGATGGTGGACTCTAACTGCCGATCTCGGATTTAGCAGTCTAACACGTAACCAGGGCACCTTTAATGTTCATTAAATTGAAAGTTATTAACATGCATTACCTGAACACCTCCTCTTAAATATATATAACTTCTCTAAAGAAATTTGGGCAGTAAAGAAAGGTGACTCAGTATTAGCACATCTATGATGCCAAATATGAATAATAGGTGGGAAAACGCATACATTAGTTTCTGAAGTAACGTGCAAAGTTAGATCCCAAGAAAAACCACACAGGTAAATTATTTTTATTTTACTCAATTTTAAAAAATAGGGTCAGCAAACTTCTGCAACAGTCAAGAGAGTATACATAAAAAACGTATATCATAACTCCATGAAAGCAGCAATAGACAATATCTAAAAGAATGGGCATGAAGGTAAACTAATTTATGTAGAACAACAGGTAACTGACCAGATTTAGCCCATGGATCAGTTTGTGGACCCTTAAAGTAAAAAGATACTATAGAAACCATAGAAAGGCATTTTATAAAAGTTGTTATTCTGTCTCTCTCCGACTCTACAACGCCCCCCCCCCCCTTTCAGGATTTTATCCCAGTGGTAAACAGTTTAGGGCCAGCTGTAGCCATTTGGGGAGTCTATTTAGTTTTAAACAATATCTTCCCCTTTTTTAGATTCTCTACGCAGTAGTCTTTGCTGAGCAGATCTGTGCGCATGTGTAGTAGAACTCACTAGGGAGAAGATTCTATTGATTTGATAGTGAGTAATTGTTATCATAAGGAGCTCTGGTAGCATAGTGGTTACGAATCAGTCTGCGAAGTGCAAGGTCAGCAGTTTGAAACTACCAGCTGTTGCGTGGGAGAAAGATGCGGTATTCTACTCCCATAAAGATTTACAGCCTCGGAAACACTGTACAGGGTCGCTATGACTTGGAACCGACTCCACGACACATCACCAATTGTTATCATGACTAACTGTGACTGTCACAACTGTAAAGGTAGAAGTTTTATAACAAAAAAATGGGGCTGTGGTAGTTAATCTTACAGTCCAGAAACACAGGCTCCTAGTAGAATGTGGGACCCTATCCAGAGAAGCAGCGACACCAGAGATGGAGGCAGAGATGAGGACATGGAGAAAGGGAGCAGCTGAGGACTCAGGGAATGAGAAGGTCTGAGTGCTGGTGGCCAGGAGACAGGCTTGCAGAGTGTGCCTTTTGGTTGTTTAACTGATTATATATTCCTGAGTGTTTTTGTGTACATCCCCGACAGCGCCCCCCGAAAAAACAGAGGGAATAGAATCAAATACTGTTGAATGATGATGCACAGAGGAGACTGTAATCATTTCAATAAAATGATAGTGTAAAGCCGATGTTCCCCCATGGAAACTATCACTCCATTCACAAAAAAAATTAAAAACAAATAACAGAAATAGGAGTTGTCTATAAGTCTGACATACATAACCAGGGATTGTTGTTGTTTTGAAGTGCCATTGAGTCCGTTCTGACCCATAGCGATCCTGTCTATAGTTCCTGAGAAGCACTTGGTGACCTTGAACTGCCAACCTTGCAGTTCTAACAGCTTTGTAGTCTGGGACAGTAACCCATAGCAGCGCACCAAGATTACCTGTATTGAATTTTCTCAAAAGTATTTTATGAATCAATTTTTATAATTTTCGTTATCTTGACAATACTGTAGGTTACAATGATTGATTTTCATATATTGAACAAGTCTTGAAATAAACCCCACTTTATCATGCCAGAAAAAAAGAGTTGTTAAGTACCATTGAGTCCTTTTTGACTCAAAGCAACCCTGTGAAGGGTTTACAAGAAACAGCAGGTGGGTTTGAACTGTTGACCTTGTGATTACCAATCTAGGGCTTATCGTTTGCACTACACTAAGGTATCCTTTAAAAAAGTCATGACAATGTTGGTGTTGTTAAGTACCATCGAGTTGAATCTGACCCATAGCGACCCTATATAGGGTTGCCAAGGAGCAGCTGGTGAGCTTGAACCACCGACCTTGCAGTTCAAATGGCTTTGAAGTCTGATGCATTAGCCCACAGCACCACACCAGTTTCTATTAAAGAATCTCACCTTCCCTCCCATACACATACAGACAATGCAAAATGAATCATTTACCATCTAAAGAGTTTCTGAAAATGTGGGAGAAAAAAAATGTTCTAAAGCCAGGCACAATTTCCTGTGAACTAGGATAAAAATGCTTGTATTGCCTTAGAATCATATTGAAAACTAAATATATTCAGTATCACACAAAATATTTATTATTTAAGGTACATCAAGACTCATGTTCACCCTGAACGATGGAATTGTTCAGAACAATGGGATCCTAACTTAGAAGGAAGTAAAGAGTAAGGTTCTAGGGTGATGCAAACAATTTGCACTCAACTATTAATGCTTAATAGTTAAGTAAAAGGTTGGAGTCCTGGTGTGGCACCATAGGAGAAGTACTGGACCACAAGGACAGTTTGATCTACAAAATCAGGGTTTTAAACTCACCAGTCACTCCTCAGAAACCAGATACAGGGTTGGTATAAGCTGGAACCAACTCATGGCACTTAGCAACAATAACAACAGTGAAAGCTAGGGTTTCTGGTTTGGCACTGTAGGTACTGGACCTCCAGGTCAGTTTGAATAGCCAGTTTAACATGTAAAACCCACCAGTCATTCCTCAGAACCCTCAACATGATGCCATTCAACAACAATAACAACCACACTGAAACGGTTTCAGTTGGAGCAGGTCTGCTCTGTAATACATAGGCTCAGGATGAGTCGGAATCTCCCTGATGCCAATGAGTCTGGATAGTAGGAAGGAAAATAGATGGAAAGAAAGGAAACTGAGCCAGAAAGCCCTGTGTGAAAATACTTCTCAGCCAGTGAAGTTTATTCCTGTTGTGTGCCTTTAAGTTGGTTTTGTGTGATGCTGTGCATAACAGAATGAAACATCGCCCAGCTATGCACCATCTTCACAATTGTTGTTATACTTGAACCCATTGTTTTTGGAAAGAGAAAAGAGCCAACTCATAAAACCGTTGTGAGTAATGAGTAGTGTGACCCACTGCACCGCCTACACCTTGTACATGATGGACACCTTTTACAGGATGGAGAAACCAAGTTCTCCTCTCCCTAAGGCCTATGAAAGTTCCACCTTTCTCAAGAAACATTCAGCCATCCAGCTCTGTGGAATGATCTAGGTACTATTCTATGTACTGATCTAGGTTCATGATGTCTGTGTCAAACTAGATGCCGTTGAGATCTGGCTCTTTCATTCGCAACTTCTGAGAACAACATCTGTGGGCCAATTTCCTTTTATATAAAAACAGTTGAATGATACTTTTTATAAAACATTCTCTAATGGGAGTTTTGTGGGAAATAAACTGGAGTCCTAGTGTGGCACTGTAGGATAAGCACCGAATTGCTAACCACAAGGTCGGCACTTTACACTCGTCAGTCCCTTCTTGGAAACCCTATTCTCAGGGTTGCTTGAGGTGGAATCTACTCTTCATTACTAATAACAACATCCTATAAACTGCAGGATGCTTTGCTGCGTCACTGCTTTGGCACTATGAAACCTATAACCAAAATGCAAAAAATATATATTCAGGGTAGTAAAACAAGGCTTTATAATCAGTTCTTGCTGAGGCCTAAAATTGATAACAAAGATATGAATCGGCATGTATTCTAAAGAAAGATATCAAATCATTTATGTGAAGCATTATCTAGGAAAACAATTAACAGCTGTGTGTCAACCATATATAAAGAACAAGTTGACAGGATTTAGGAGTAATGGTAACAAAACAGTTATTTTCTGCCTGTACTCTATGGAGTCTAACCCATCTGCAATAAAACAATTCCACAGTAATAAATCAGTTTCTAGTTCATCAAGTAATAATAAAAATGCTACTGACACACCATCAATAAACATTGAAGTTGTTTTTCTTATATTTTGGAATAAACTGTCTCGAGTTAGTCATATGATCTCACTTTTGTAGAAATAAGAAAAGTTTCTAATACCTATTTTAAATAATTCATCATCTGGAATCTGTTCATACCATGTATTTTTATATATTCTCAATAGTGATAAAAAAAATATCTTTATTTCTCAGTATTCTTGCTGGCCAGTCAAATCTTTTTCCTTCAATACAACTCAGTAGGATAAAAAATTACCTCCCACGTAATGACGAGTTCAGATCGACTTCCTCCACCTCCATTGATATTTGTTGGTGCCATGACTGGGACTAAAAACAACCAAGAGAAATATGGGATGACAATTATTAGGTACATCTTCATAGGGAAGAATTTTGTTTTAGATTTCACCTTTCAAAATCTCACAGAGGGGCATTAGGAGAGAGCCTTGCTTTTTTAATGAACATAAATTATGTTTACTCATATCCAAATTTCTAAGAGAGAGGATACGATTGTTTTTGATACATGAGCGCCCTGGCTCCAAAATTAATTAAAAATCGAGTAACATCATGTATTTGACATTATTATGCATCATCTACTAATTGGCAAAATGATGTTCCATTCAGATGGTACCAGTGACACTGCTGATTTAGTGCCTAATTATACAGTTGTGCTGTAAACAAGTTACTGAGACAGTGTATTAATTTTTTTAATAAACAAACTATTTTTTTCTTTTTGTTAATCATCAGAATATTTTAACTCATAAAAATGAATTTATAAAAATATAGGGAAAAGTAAATGAACTTCTTTTTAAATATCCATGTTTAACTCTTAAGTCTTTCAGAAAAGAACAAGCCTTCCTCTTGTTTAGAAAGTCAGTAAATTGTCTCTTATCAAGCTGTGGAGATTACATTTAAAGCTAGGATTCTAGGCCTTTGTAGAGAACTGTGTCAGACACTGATTGACTTTATAAATTAGAAAAAAATATGTCCTTCATATGTAATCTTGTGAGGACTAGGATAATCATTGTTGTTGTTGTTGTTAAGTGCTGTCGAGTCGGTTCCGACCCATAGCGACCTTGTACAGGGTTTCCGAGGGTGTAAATCTTTACAGGAGTAGAAAGCCTGATCTTTCTTACGTGGAGCAGCTGGTAGTTTCGAACAGCTGACCTTTAAGCTTTGCAGCTCGATTCGTAACCACTACGCTACCAGAATTTAAATCATAAAATTGATTACAATTGTGAGAATATGTGTGGAGGCTATTGTAGTGTATAATCAGTAAGGGATTATGCTTTACACATGTGAAAGCATTAAACATAGCTTTTCTTGACACCATGGTAAAGGTATCTTAATAATTGGGTAAATCTGCAGAATGTAGTTTTTTAAGTGAAGAGTTACATGATATTGTCTACATTACAGGGTATGTAAGGTGCAGGGAGAGCAGGGAGTAAGTGGGGACTGACAGGCAGGTATTACCATATGCGGTGATTAAATGTCCTTTACAAAATTGTATCCATCTAGAATCCATCCACAGAATCCAAACTACTTTTAAATTTTAATCCCAATTTATACAGGTGTATTAAGACTTTAAATGACATGCTGATGTTTGTCATTTCATAAGAGTCTATTACAACTCATAATGACCCTGTAAATCAGAGTAGAAAACTCTCATAGAGTTTGGTAGCCTGTAATTGTTACATGGAATGAGGGTACCATTGCTGATGCCAGCTGGATCTTGCCTGAAAGCAGAGAATACCAGAAACAAAGTTTTTGTTGTTGATTACTGCTGTCAAGTTGGTTCTGACTCACAGCAACTCAGTATAGGGTTTCCGAGGAGCAGCTGTTGGTGAGTTGAAACCATTGACATTCCAGTTCAGTCTGACCTTGTGGTCCTGCATGTATCCTACAGTACCGTACCAGTACTTTACTGACTGTACAAAGGCTTTCGTCTGTGTGGTTCATGACAAGCTATGCACAACGTTCCCAAGAATGGCTACTCCCGAACATTTAATTGTTCTCCTGAGGAACCTGCACATAGTCCAAAAGGCGGTTGTTCAAACAGGACAATGGGACACTAAGTGGATTAAAATCAGGAATGGTTTGTGCCAGGTTTTTGGGTTTGTTTTCTACCATACTTACTCAATCTGTGTGTTGAGCAAATAATTCACGAAGCTAGATTAGATGAAGAAGAACGTAGTGTTACGATTGGAAGAAGACTCATTAACAACCTGAGATATGCAGATGATACAACCTTACTTCCTGAAAGCGAAGAGGACTTAAAATACTGATAAGGATGAAAGACACAGCCTTCAGTGTGGGTTGCACCTCAATGGAAAGGGAAAAAAAAAAATCCTCACCACTGGACTGTATGTCTCATTCTGTTGTGCATAGGGTCGCTATGAATCAGAACTGACTCCACAGCACCTAACAATAACAACAGTCTTTACAAAAGGTGTCTTGGTGGCATGATGGTTAAATGCTAGGTGGCTAACAGATACCCATCTAGTGGAGAACTGATCTTATGTTTTGCTGTGGTAAAAATTCACCTAGGGACCCCTACAGAGCAGTTCCCCTGTGTACTCTAGGGCCACTGTGAGTCCTAACTGACTCAATGGTGCACTCACAGCTCTCTTTACAGCCACAGATATCAGATCTCTTCTTCATGGAGTGGTTGGAGAGGTTCAAATCATTGACTCTGAGGTTACCAGCTAAGTGTTTGTAAACTGATTTTTTTTTTTTTTAAATAATGGCATCTCTCAGATATTACCCATTTTCATGGTCAAATTTACCATAATTTTGCATTGCTTTTAATTTCATGATTTTAGCTTCATGATTTAGCCTAGAGAAATCCTATCTACACCCTATGAAGTAGTTCCGGTATGGCGCTGTGGGTTAATATGCTGCACTTCGAAGTCACTTTGAACGTAGGGTTGGTGGTTCAAGCTCACCAGCCTCTCCTTGGAAACCCTATACAGGATTGCTATGGGTCGGAATCAACGGCACTTCACAACAACAATAACAACACCCTATAAATCTCCAAATTAGTTTATAAAAAATAACATGAATTTGAGTGATTCTACTGACTTGCTTAAAGTATTGGACAGCATATAATGACACAATTTAATGACCTTTGAATAGTTTAGTCATATAAATTAAGTTACTTTAAAGTTCTGGTGTGACATTGTGGGCTAATGTGCTGGACTGCAAGGTTGGTTTGAACCACAAGATCAGTAGTTCAAGCTCACCAGATGCTCCTTGAAAACCCCATACAGGGTCACTTTGAGTCAGAACTGACTGAATGGCACTTAACAACATACTTCAATTTACAGTCTTGTTGTTGTTGTTGTTGTTAAGTGCCGTGGAGTCGGTTCCGACTCATAGCGACCCTGCACAGGGTTTCCAAGGCTGTAAATCTTTACGGGAGCAGAACGCCTCCTCTTTCTCCCGCGGAACCGCTGGTAGTTTCGAACTGCTGACCTTGCGGTTCACAGCCCGATTCGTAACCACTACGCTACCAGAGCTCCTTTCAATTTACAGTCTACACATTTTTAAATATTATGGGTAACAAAATGTTTCTTAAATTTTCAAATGATCTGCACATAAACCCTAAAACCATACTGAGAAGAATTTAGATTCCGGAACACAAGCAAGGTAGCACTTCATTATGATTTGGGACCTCAGGGAAATTGTGACAGTATCAGTACTCTTCATAACAATACTAATACAACAAAAATTTCAGTCGTTATAACACGATGATGACATAGAAACTTTATTCTAAAAAGACTTTAAAGTCAATCATGAACAAAGTTACCAAAATATAAGTCAGTTGCACACAGATAACATGAACTAAAGCTAAAATCCCGGGTCATGAGCCACATCCTGAAATCCTGATGTGATTGGTCCATAGTAAGTCCTATAAATCTCTCTATTTACATAGTTGTTGACGCCCCTCGAATGCTAGTTTACATTAGAGACACTGCTTTTTAAGACTGCTGGAGCATTAGTTGGTGCTGTTGTCAAGTGCTGTTGAGTCGATTCCGACCCATAGTGACCCTATATAGGGTTTCCAATTGAAATTGAATCTCAGCTGAATTGAAATCTCAGCTGTCAGAAATGTCACTAACATCCCTATTCGTTTTTCTCCTGTGTCAAATGATAGATCTACTTACTCTCAGCTCTCAAATTCTAGGATTATTTAATTTTATGGTATTGCTGCCAAATAACTGGTTCTAATTTCACAACATGAACGAATATGGAGGACATTATGTTGAGCTAAGTAAGTCAATCACAAAAGGACAAGCATTATATGAGATCACTGTTTTCATTTTAATTGCATCCAAATTCAATGCTCATAAAAGCAATACTCAAAAAATCAAATGGCATATTATGATGGTGAAATATGCTGCAGAAGACGTCTTTAATGTGTGAAAGAGCAAAGATTTCCATCTAGATCGATTGTAAAACATAAAGATAATGCTCTACATCCTAGTCTGGTGAGTGTCGTCTGGAGTCTTAAAAGCTTGCAAGTGACCATCTAAGAAGCAACTACTGGTCACTTTCTAACTGGAAAAAATAAGAATGAAGATGAACAAAGGTTGAAGGAAGCAATTAATCAGTCAAAAGGATTAATGACTTACATATGACCTACAGCCTCCTCAAACGTGAGACCAGAATTAGATTGTGCCTGGCTACCATTACTGACTGCTCTGAGCAAGACCACATTGGAAGGTCCTGAATCAAATGGGTAAGGAATACGAATGAATAAATGCATGAAAATTCAAAATATACAAAATGGACTCACAGATCTGAAAGAGACTAGAGGAGACTCTGAGATGATTGGCTTAAAGTTACCTTCCAATTGGAAGCTGAAAACACTTCCAGAGGCCACGTCAGTCAATCAAATAACAAACAGTAACAGCCATGAAGATTATGCTTCTTAGAGAGGTGTATAGACCAAAAAGACAGCTGGTTGTTGTTGTTCAGTCCAGTTGAGAAAGTTCCAACTCAAAGCAACACTGTAAAACGTTTTCAAAGAGTAGCTAGCGAGCTTGAAACACCAGCATTATGGTTCAAACTGACCTTGCAGTCCAGCACTTTAACCTGCAGTGCCACAACAGGACTTCTAAAAGGACAGCAGAGGCCCAAAAGGAAAGATGAGAAAAGAGGTTGGGTCAGGGAAACTGGACACATGGAAACAGAAAGAAAATAGGAAGAGTGTCGGCAGCTTGCTGAGAAAGTTGCAACCATTGCGTGTAACAATCTGTGTAAGAACTATGGAATGGAAAGCTAATTTGCTATGTGCATTTTCACCTAATGTGCACTAAAATGTTAGAAAAAAAATGTTGCTTTGTAGCTTCATCCCTACCCCCCACCACGCTAAAAATACTAATTCTGTGTTTAGTTTAAGACGTCCTGGTAGCGTAATGGATTATGAACTGAGCTGCTAACCTCAAGGTCAGCTGTTCGAATCTACCAGCCATTCCACAGGAGAAAGATGAGGTTTTCTGTTCCCATAAAGCTTTACAGCCTCAGAAATGCTCTATAGGGTTGCTCTGCATTGACATGGACTCTGTGGCACACAAATACCATGTTGAGTTTAGGAGTCCTAGGTGTCAAAAACGATTAACTGCCTAACTAATAACTCCTAATGTTTTAGTGGCGCTGTGGGCTAATGCATCAGACTGCAAAGTCTTTTGAACTACAAGTTCAGTGGTTCAAGCTCACCAACAGCTCCTTGGAAACCCTATACAGGGTTGCTATGGGTTGGAATTGACTCGACAGCACTTGACAACAACAACAATGTTTATTGGTACGAACTCACAGAGATGCCCTGGAAGTTAGGTGTGGCAGTCTATGTCAGAAAGATCACAGCCTTTAAAACCCAATGGAGCAGTTCTACTCTGCACGCATGGGGTCACCATACGTTGCAAGAGAATCAGAAGCAACTAACAAGCCTTAAAAGTGAGTTCCTGACGTCTGGTAGTTGCATACATTTTTATTGTGGTAGTGTGTATTTGACCAGCTAAATCATCAGCAATGAAGAGATCCTTCATTCGTGTGACTATAAAAGAATGTGAACTTTTCTAATAAATGTAGCAAGCAGATGAAATGTCACTCTGGGTGTGAAAGTTTAAGAGTGGAACAAAGAGGATCCACTGAAAAGAGCTTAAGAAGGCTGATTTCTGAGTCAGGTTCCGCTTGTGTTCTGCTGTTCAGTGAGTGAACAATTGCTGCTCAATTAGTACTTCTGGTAAATGACATTAGGATTTGCCTACTTTGCACTGGGAAGAATTTAGACTATTGCTTATGAAGCTGCAACTAGGTCATAGTGGAGAAATAGATGGAAATGCTGGATGACTGTTTTAACAATGTCTGGAGTCCTGGTGTGGTGCTGTGGGCTAATGTGTCAGACTGCAAAGCCGTTTGAACTGCAAGGTTGGTGGTTCAAGCTCACTAGTGGCTCCTTGGAAACCCTATATAGGGTCACTATAGGTTGGAATTGACTCGACAGCACTCAACAACAACAACAATTTAATGAAACATGCAGTAACTTCTTTTGTATCTGCAAATCTGCAGATTCTGTATTGGATTTTGGCTAGGAAATGATTGATGATGATTATATTTCATGGAGTTCATTCCAACTCATAGTGCCCCTATATAGGGTTTTCGAGGCTGCAAATATCTATGGGAACAGAATGCTCATCTTTCTCCCATGGAACAGGTGGTAGTTTTGAACTGCTGACCTTAAGGTGAGCAGCCTGACCCATAACCACTATGCTACCAGAGCTCTTTAATTGGCTAGGAAATAGAGGCGAGGAAAAGACAGATTCTGAACAACTCTTACTTTGAGATGGCCACTTCAGTGCAGTTATCTTTTACTGAACCTAATGATCTTGGAAAGCATAGCTTGCCTTGCACATATAAAAATCTAAAAATAAGAGTCACTGATTTACTGCCTCTGATTCCATGCCAGAAATGGAAGACGCATAAAAAGCCCATTTTACTTATTTTCTTCAAAAACAAAACAAAAAAAGCCATCAAGGATTTTCCACTGTTTTAGAAGATATTAACTCCTCACCTGATGCTTTGGTTCTTAACAATTCTGATGGTTTACTTGGTTCTCCAATCCCAATGCTGTTCCCAGCAACAACACGGAATTCATACTCCACCCAAGGGCTCAAACCAACCACTGTTGCATTGTATGTCTTACCATTGAGAATTTCTGGAACTGAAGAGAGTGGGATACTTAAGAAACCTTAATCGGCATTAGTCACAATCCATCAGTCACTCAAACAAACCAACCTATAATCTGTTTTAAAATATCCCAAAATACATGAATGACTTACCTGTAGAAACAGCCTGCCAACCCAAAGAAAAAGGTGTTCGAGTCTGAATAGTAAATATTTGAATGGGACTATTATTATCTGGGCCTGCTCTCCAGCTGAGTTGAGAAGTGCTACTGGAAATGTGCTCCACTCTCACATTCTCTGGGGGACCTGGGGGACCTTGAAAAAGATGTTTTATGATATTGGAGGTTATTAAATTCAGTGACTGGGGTAGGAATAGTTTATTTTATCTGAAAAAGAAAATATTGAACATAACATGTTCACAGCACATTGTTAGAGATAAAGTCCTATTAATTGAACTTACATGTAGAGAGATTCATTTAGAAATGTTTTCTTTGAAGATTAGAACATGCCAGTCATGAGTTGGTTTCATATCATGCAACAGGGAACTAACCTCACAAATTGAGAAACTTTCTTATATTGTTCTCTGAAAGTCTAATTCAATAAGTAATTGCAGCCAATATGGAGAACTATAGGAGCATGTGAATTCAGCCCTGGAATCCTGGTATGGCGCTGCAGGGTAATGCACTGGACCATAATGGCAGTTTGAACTGCAAGGTTGGCAGTACTAACCCACCAGCCCCACCTCAGAAACCCTATATAAGGTCACTATGAGTCCGAACCAACTCAATGGCACTTAACCACTGTGTATTTTAAAGATGCACCGGTGCTACTCTGAGTTAATTGTTGGGCTGTTAATTGGAAGTTAGTGGTCCAAACCCACCAGCTGCTCTGCCTCTGGGGAGAAAGATGAGACCATCTGTTTATATAGATGTACAGTCTTAGGAACCCTCTACAGGGTAGTTATTAATAGGAATCAACTAGATGGCAGTAGGTAGGAGGGTGTATTATAAATAGAAGGGAAGCCTAGGTTTTAGGTGTTGACATTGTCTACTGAAGCTGACCATGCTGTATAAACAGACACAAACTGCCCACATCTGTATCCATATCCACATTGCCCATTCCCTGGAGTTTTCAAGGTTAGGGAAAAAAAAAAAAAAAAATACATAGGCAAGGTTTTAATGTTATTTGCCTACCACAGTGTGGTCTCTGGAAGACCTAGCATTTAGATTCAGAAATGTTTACCTGTGATTAAACCATGCAATCACTTATAATAGCCATTTTAGCTTACCTCTAACAATGATATCAGCTACAGCAGATAAAATTTCTAGAGTTGTTTGCACTGTGCACATATATTTTCCTGAATGGTTTAACTGAATATTCCTTATCATCAAATCACCAACAGATTCCTAAAGATATTACGGTGAAAAGAGATAAAAACACAATCTCACTCAACAAGTCCCATATTAGAGCTAGATAAATATTAAATATAACCGAGATCTGAAATTAAAATAAATATTAGCGTATGGAAGTTTCTCATATTGATTCCCTTTACTGTCCCTTTTATAATAATTACAAATAAAACATAAACATTTCTATGAAAGACATAAAACAAAACAGATGCTGTTCCGAAAAAAGAGAAACTATTCATGCAAATAAACATGGGGAAAATAATTATGAAAGATGTTGGTTCATTTTATTAAGCACTTAAATATTTCAGCAACTTACTCCTCCAATCCTTTCAAAATGAGTAACTCCTTTTTTTAAGTCTATAATTTCTCCATTGAAAGACCAAAAAAATACAACTTCAACAGAGGGGTCACGAGACACCTGGCAGGGAAGGACTATACTCTCGCCGACTGTGACATCCATTTTGGTTGGAGGAATGGTAATTACAGTCCTCTCTGTGGAGAGAAAACAAAAATATTCAAGAAACTCTGATCAATTTAAGACTCAGAAGGATTTTGAATACTGCAAATGAAACTTGAAATTCTATTCAATATGAAAACTTTAAGATTCCTTTTTAAAAAATCTGTCTGCATTTTCTTTTATCATCAGTGCAGCGTATAACTTGTAATAAAATTAAGGGCAGAGTTTACTTAGACTTTATATAAGGATATCTAGTTTTCAGAATATCATGGACTTGTAAAGACAACATTCCATACACACAGACTGCACCATACTTTGTTGTTATTTGATATTTTAATATTACAGTCACAGTATTACATTTGACACACTGGAAACAGCTTCTATTGTTGATAAGTTCCATCGAGTCAGTTCTGTCTCATGGCACCCTGTATAGAGTGTCTTAGGTGAAGCTAGTGGGTTTGAACCATTGACCTTGCGGTTAGCAGTCCCATGATTATCCTAAGTGCCACACTGAGACAAACTCTGTTTTAAAGATAATAACAAAAATAATCTATGTTGTTGTTTTTAAGTGCTGTTAGGGCTCACAGCGGCCCACTTTCAAACACTAAGTATTTATAGGAGCAGACAGCCTCATCTCTCTCCCAGGGAGCAGATGGTGGTGAGCAGTCCAATGCTTATCCTACTTAGCCACAATGCTCACAATAACCTATGTAGTGAGTTATAATCATAGACTTATGTGCATATTTTAAAGAGTTAATACAGCATAGTTAATCAATTTTTGACACAGGTGTGACCATTTTCAATTAGTTGGCAGTGTGATATAAATAAGACAGATAAAAGATTCCTCATTTCTTAATCCAAATATTATACGATTAGGATTGCACATCCATCATAAAATCCCTTCCCATAGGAATATCGGTCTCATAGTCCATCCTGGTTGTAAAAGTTTTAGAAAGTCACTTAACAAAGTTTTGAAAGATGATTCCAAAAGTGATTTCGTTATATTAGAGTGTCATAGTTTGCTTATTAGGAATGACTGACAATGATAGGTTATATTTAATAACAAAATAGTTTTAATTCTAGAGGATTGAGAAATGACCAAAAATGTCACTTAGTGCTCATGAAGGAACTTGGATCATATATTTGGATTTAGATCAGTATTCTACAATAAATACACTATATTTTAAGAAATTTACAATCAGTAATGAGGGTTTTAGGCAGATTTTATAATGAAGAATTAGTGTGTGCTATGAAGTTTTAAAATACTGAAATGTGGATCCTGGATAGTAATTTTTTAAATATCTGAATTGCAAAATGTGAGACCAAAAGGTACCTTCTAAGTGAGGAGTAGGTATATTTCAAATTTGATAGACATTGGTGAAAATCAGGGAAATTCACAATGAGGTTGATTGACAAAATAGTTGAAACAATGAACTCAGACCTTTCAATGAAGACAGTGAAGATTGAGCAGTATTTTGTTTCATGACATATAAAGTCACCCTGAAAAGAAGCTGACTTTAGGACAGCCAGCAATAGCAATGGAGATGTGCATCATGCCCTTTTTAGAAATAAAATGCATAATTATATTTCCAACATTAAAAAAATTAGAATGGTTTCTTTAGTAAAGATTTGTAAATGGAAAATAGAAAGTAGTAATCCCTAGTCTTTAATTATATATATGAATAAAGTCATGAAAAATAAAAGCATGTATTTCTGAATATATGGGGGGAGAAATCAACTCTTAACCTACATCAGATAAAATGATTTTTATTTTCACTTTTAGAAATAGATTCCCCTTTTTTAAAAAATCAACATGTATACTTTTTATTCTAATCCTTCACAGGAAAAATTGTGAAGAATGACTGTTTAATAAAAGTCGATTCTTAATCCCATGCTTCCTTCACATGTGTTCTACAAAAAAAGGATAAATTATATCCAGGGATTTAACTAAATTCTTCAGAAATAGAGAAAATACATTCCTACGTGTAGTTGCTCTAAAAAAAAAAAGGCACCATTAATGTCTTGTTTACATTTATGAGAGGATGAGTCTGTTAATTGGCTGTTTATTGCCCTTATTTACAGTTTTAGATCATGCAATTAAAGTAATTTTCAAATATTAACAATGACAGCCATTCCTTCCATTTATGATACTGATATCACGCAGTAGCAACATTAAAAACAAGTTAGTCCATATAATACATAGCTCATGGGTGATGGTGCAGAGGTTATCATCTCCATAGGGAAAATGATGTATCAGTTTGCATCTGGAAAGATTTTAACTGTATGGAAAATGTATCAGGCAGTTCTACTGTGTCCCAGAGCATGGCTATGAGTTAGAATTGACTTGAAAGCAATGCATTTGGTATTGAGTTTCATGGACAAAACAGTAAGAATGACTAAAACTTCATTAATTAGAAATTTATAGAATTTATAATTTTTCACTGGTTCATTTATTCATTTATTAACTAACATTTATTGGAAATTTACCATATGTTCACTTCTCTGCTAATTATTAGATACATAATGGTATGGATGAATTTTAATAAAATAGGTAGAATGCCTGCCCTCATGGAGATGTTAGCCTCCTTATTACCTAATTAGCCTATCTGTAATGAAGCTTATAGTAATGAAGATAAAGTTATAACTGTAAGAAGTACCACATGTTAGAAATAAATGAACCAGGTACGATTGTTGTGGGTCAAACCCAGAGTGTGACCCTGTATTGGGTTTCCGAGGAGTAGTCATTTATCCTTTGGTCCTTCTCAGTGTCTTCCTTTGCCTCCGTCACACTGTGATGACTTTCCTATAGTGCCGTTCCCTTTACGAATTAATCTCTCTAGGAGTTTGTGAATTATGTATATCATTTCTTCCTGAGGTGCTTCAAAGAATTCTTGGCTGAAATCGTGTTTTTCTAAGTTGTTTGTTGGAAGGTGCCTTCCAGTCGGCTCCAGCTTTATGTACAACAGAACGAAGCATTGCCTTGTCCTGAGCAGTATTTCTATTGTTGTTGTGAAGTGCCAACTAGTTGGTTCTGACCCATAGCGACCGTGTATAGGGTTGCTAAGGAGCAGCTGGTGAGATTGAACCACCAACCTTGCATTTCAAATGGCTTTGCAGTCTGGTTCATTAACGCCCAGCACCATACCAGGACTCCAAGTAGAACCTGTAAATTCTATTTGTTTTTTTGTGTCAGTTCTTAACAACTGAATTGTTAAGATCTTTCCCATATAACCTGTATCTTCAGATGCATTGGCATAGGTTTGGCCTCTTATTTCACTGTAAGACCTGTCATGATACATTTCTTCTACTTTTCCCATTCTATTAATACTATTTTTGCATTATCTCTTTTTTTTCCAATCAGTCTTGGAAAAGTGTTATTCACTTTATATGTCTTTTTTTTGAAGATATTACTGGTAAGATTCTCAATCTTATGTACCACCTAAGCAATTATCCCCTATGGTATTTGTCACTTGTTGCTGTTAGGTGCCATCCAGTCAGTACCCACTCATAGCTACCCTATGCACAGTAGAACGAAACATTGTCTGATCCTGGGCCAACCTCTATTGTTGCCATGCTTGAGCCCACTGATGCTGCCACTTTGCCTTTCCATTTTGCTGGGGTTCTTCCTCTTTTTCTCTGACCCCCCACCTTATCAAACATGATATCCTTTTCCAGTGACTGGTCCCTCCTGACAATATGTCCGAAGTATGAGTGACAGAGTTTGGCCATCCTGGCCTCCAAGGAGCACTCTGGCTGTACTTCTTCCTACACAGATCTGTTGGTTCTTTTGGAAGCCCATGGCACTTTCAATATTCTCCTCCAACACCTTAACTCAAAAGCATCAATTCTCTTATGGTCTTCCTTATTCACTGCCCAGCTTTCGCATGTATATAAGGTTTTTGAAAAAACCATGGCTTGGGTCAGGCGCACCTTAGTCCTCAAACTGACATTTTTGCTCTTCAACATTTTAAAAAGGTCTTGTGCAGCAGATTTGCCTAATGCAATATGTCATTTAATTTCTTGACGACTGCTTCCATGAGTGTTGATAGTTGATCTAAGAAGAATGAAGTCCTTGACAGCTTCAATCTTTTCTCTTTTGATAAGAATGTTGTTTATTGGTCCAGTGGTGAGGATTTTTGTTTTCTTGACATTGAGACGTAATCTATACTGAAGGTTGTGTTCTTTGATCTTCATCATTAAATATTTAAGTCTTCTTCACTTTCAGCAATCAAGGTTGGATTATCTGCATGTTGCAAGTTGCTAATGAGTCTTCCTCCAATCCTGATGCCACGTTTTCCTTCATGTAACCCAGCTTCTTGGATTATTTGCTCAGCATACAGATTGAATAAGTATGGTGAAAGAAAACAACCTTGTCACACACCTTTCTTAATTTTAAATCATTCATTATTCCCATGTTCTGTTTGAACTCTACTGATTCAGTCTTTAGTGTTTAATGTATCAAATCTGTTCTTCAGGTGATCCCTAAATTCAAGGTCATATTTTGGCTCTTGTGGACTTGTTTTCATTTTCTTCAGCTTCAGTTGGAATTTGCATATGAGTAATTTATGGTCTTGTTGAACTGATAAAAGGAGCTTTACCATCATCTCTTTCTGCAGATGTAGTCAATTTGATTTCTATGTATTCCATTTGGCGAGGTCCATGTGTATAGTCATCTCTTATGCAGTCTAAAGAAGGTATTTGAAATGAACAAATCCTTGATTTTGCAGAATTCTATCATGTGTTCTCCAGTATCATTTCTATCACCAAGGCCATATTTTCCAACTACTGATCCTTCTTCTTTGCTCCCAACCTTTGCATTCTAGTCACCGGTAATAATCAATACATCTTGATTGCATGTTTGATCAATATCATATTGAAGATGTTGGTAGAAATTTTCTGTTTCATTCTCACTGGCTTTAGTGGCTGGTGTGTAAATTTAAATAATAGTGGTATTCACTGGTCTTCCCTGTAGGCACATGAATATTATCCTATCACAGACAGTGTTTTACTTCATTACTGATCTGGATATGTTCTT